TTTTGTTTGCCGTTGTTTTTGTTGTTGTTGTAATAGGTTCCTGTTTTCTTGCTAATTATGGGACAAATAAACATTTCTTCGTTCTAAATTGTATTCCGTTTATCGATTCGATGTTGAACTATTCATCATTATATCGAATTTTGTGAAGCATTCACTGATATTATGATGGATGCTACTTTTGGTACTTTTTGTTACTTCTTTTGAACGAACACCTCTTAAGACTGCTTCTGTTAGCGCCTGTGAAACAGCAGAAATTGAGCAATATGAAGAGTTTGTGCGGAATTTTTCCCACGCTGGCACATATGGGAGACAGATGGCTTCACTGGGATTGTTATTAGTCGCTAGTAAATCTTCACTAACGCTATCCTCGCCAAGGAGATCTGATCTTCTTGTTGTTTTTCTTTTTTAACCGGTCTTTTCCTCTACCGCCACCTGAACCTCAGTCAAGCTGCCACACTACCCCTTCCGCTGTGCTCGCCCAAGCCGCGGTTATAGTTTAGTCGGAGCGATCGTCCGATCGCACAACCAGGTGTGGGCTTGACATAGATTGACCGTACGACTGCAGAGGGTTACAAGGCTTCTGTCAATCAGGGGAGAGAGCGTAGATGGACAAGCGTACACTTTGTGAAGTATTAGGACTTGGCCTTTCTGAAGAGAATAAAGAAAGAAGAGATATTGTAATAGTCTCACGCTTGAAAGCTTCCAGACACCGCTATGAAACTCTGAATTGCCTAGCCTTACAGTTGACACAAATCCTGAAAATGATTGCAGAGATCGGATGAGTTGCACGATCGATACGCATTTACCCCATACTCGCTTGTGCGATTGGGCGATCGATCCGACTGGAATAAAACTGCAGAATTAGGGTTGGATCTAGCTTGCAGTACAAGTTGAGTAGATACGTATAGATAACGCGATCACATGATCGTTTGACCATTCATTTGACCCTCGAACTGCAAGGATGAGACCACTTTGAATATCCGAAATTAATACCTCGTTGAATGGATGCGCATCCACGGAGTTCTTTTCTCATATTGTAGAGAGGGGGCGCACCAGGTAAATCCCCGTTGAAGGGGCGGAAGTGCTCTGTGTGTGTCTAGCCACTGGCGCTTATCACAATCGCAAAGTATAGCCACTCTTTGCATCCGCCATATGCCTGCACTAAATCGTAGGCTAGAGTTATACGATGGCTATTTTTGTCAGCAGTAGCTTTTTTCTGGTCCTCTTCATCTTATCACACGCGTGTGAAGAGGAACTTGTGGAAGGTCAGACAAGTTCGTAAGCCGCGTTCATAGTTCGCGACTCGGGAGATTAGGATAGTAGGCGACAGGATATTAGGATAGTAGTAGAGTAGGAGATTGCGCTGACAAGATTGGATACGTATCGATTGAAATCGCTGGAGAGTAGTAGATTGGGCGACTTCAAGCGAATAGATCAATACATATCTAATCTTGTCAGCGCACTATCCTAATCTACTACTATCCTAATCTCCTACTCTACTACTATCCTACTATCGTAATATCGTAATCTACTACTCTCCGGCGATTTCAATCGATATCTATCTAATCTTGTCAGCGCACTATCCTACTCTCTTACTAACCTAATCTCTCCGTCAATACATATCTTCTTCATCGTCGCGCACTATCCTGCTTCTCGGAATCGCGACTATGTGACGCGCCTAGTGTTAAGAGCGGGAAATCGTTCCGACTGTTATTTGGTGAATGATATGTTTTAGTGGGTGGGAATTGAAAGTACCTTTACATTAGTGGGCGTAGGGTGGCTGTAGTTGCTCAACCTCATATTAGCCCTTCTATTATTAACGGCAAAAATATGTCTGTGACTGGTCCAATTAAATCTCCGATGTAATCCCGTATAGGCCAACCCACGCTTGTATCCCCCTGAAGTCGATTTATTGGAGCCAGACTGCCAGAATTGTCCGGAAGACAAAAACTGTCTGGACTAGGCGTCGGCTGGCCTTCGCAAGCATTGTCTAGGCCAGTACACGTTCGAGCCTTTATGACCCCCAAAGAAAGCTGTGTGGGTGGCGTAGTGCCAAAAATTGATCGACTTGTTGGATTCATACGATCACAACGGTTTTTCCCTTTATTTGCTGGAATTTCAGCTGCCTATTCTTCTCCACCAAAGTTTGTTCTTCCATTTCAATATAGTATGCGCTGTAGCTATGCGTCGCCGTTTCACTAAATGTTTCGCAATCCTCGTGAATATCGTTTGCTGACGTTCTCTTTGAACTGAATGAGTTCCATTTAAACATTTGTTGCATAGCTTAATCAAATTTCGGCATGCCTTCCTTCCCTGAAAGCTCAGCTTTTAGACTTTTATACAATGATGCCCATTTGGAAAACTTAACCTTTTTTTAAGTCTCTTAGAAATTATGATTGAGTTGGAGGGGATGGGTCAAGTTCGAGATGGCTGATTACGATCAGACTCATGTTCCAGATTGGGTCGAAGATTCGGTGCTTTCTGAATATGTCTGCATTTTGGAAGCGTTGGGCGAAGAAATTTCACTAAACCCATTCTCATCGAGCTCTGCCCTCTTCTAGCTTTTTGGTTTTCATGAAATTATCAAAAAAAATTGTTATAGTGGTCGAACGCACTGATAAACAGCTATCACTTTTTCTGCAACCAGATTTGCATTGTTTGAAGGTATAGGAAATTGTGCCTGTTAATCAGTTTGGCTTGATTTCGTGAGTGAGGGGTACTTTTAAGTTCAGCCTCATTGAAGTCGTTGTCAGTTCCTTTTTTAGACTTTTCGATTCCTAATCGGGAATGGCTGGTTTTTGAACATTTCTTGCTTTGCTTAGCTTATCTATCTTTTACGTGTATTAGTGGTCGCATGCATTTCAAGAGGATGTACCATTTATTTCCCAATCACTTTTCTTCGTTCTAGTTAAGGTTTGCTTTTACTTTCAAGGTTTTGCGTTGATTCAGTGCATTTGGGCATTATCATCGACATTGTTTATTTTCTGGTAAACAATCCAATTATGTGTCAGAATGCGTTCGACGCATTTTGGAAAACGTTTCAAAAGTAAGTTTCAGATCTAAGGTGTATGGACCAGAAGTGGAGGTATGATCTGGCCAGTTTACTACGAGCACATAAGCCTCATCACGTCACGGTGACATGTAAGTTGATCACCGTCTGTTACTGAAACTTTTAGTGATAAAGCAGCTTCATCATTCGATCGTGCTAGTCTTTTTTTATTTATTTACATGATTTCTAGGTAAGGGCAGCGATAACGGTTTCATTGCTTATCCAGAATGCGATCACGGCTCGCTTCTCTCAACAGCCGGTTATATGGAAAAGGTAAAGTTTTGGCAGCTCTTTCTATTTGTTCGGTTTTAATTGTTTGATTGTTGTGCGCGTCTGTCTATATCACGTATTAGTATTTCTTCGTCCTCATAGTTTCAAATTGGAGAAGTACAGATCCAACGTTGAGCTTCTCTCAGACTTATTTGCATGAGTTATAGTTATTGATGCTTTGAAATCCATTCTGCTTGGAATATTGTGCTAAAGACCATTTTTCCATGTTAACCTTTCTCCAGACTGCCGTATGGATGCACCAATATTTCTTACCGAACTGTTGAAAAGTTGTTATGTTAACACATTCGGACGGACGCCCTTTTCCACTTTCGGACGCGATTTTGTGGGAGTGGTCCATTAACTTCACATCCGTGGATTTTGTTGTAAATGAACAAAAACATGAATGTCACAAAATAATTTCTGCAATGTCCAATGCGTAAAGATTATCTAAACATATAACAGTAGGATTTCGATCAGAAAAAGAAATAGTGGTACGAAAAGAGAGCATCTATTCACTTCCCCGTAAAGGGTATAAGAGCATTTTCAAATTGATTACGAGATTTACTCACCTATCTCCACGTTCTTAGCGCCTGGCGAGCGATTGTCAGCTGACAAAACATATGGGCTGACGCAGTCCACATGCTGTTGGCAGCCCATATGGGCGGCCATCGGCGTGAATGTGTTAATGGCGTCCTCTTTATCAGGGTGCTTATGAGGATACACCTCTGAGTTTTCGTCCTGGCCAAATTTGTTTAGTTTGGATCGATAGTTTGCACAAAATTGATCCGCATTGCCCATTATCGCTTTTTTAGGGCTGGAACCGTTTCTTGCTATCCACCAGTTATCTATAATCTGAATTCTCTCTATGTCCATCACTTATCCATTGACAGTTTTTTCTTCACAAATTGAACTTGCCCTTCTTTAACTCATGTATAAAGCATTATTGGTGCAGAATTGGTGTCAAAAAGTAGGTAAACTTATTGTGGTTGTGATCCTATACCCGGCATCTTTAAAGATGTCGTTCTATGGAGATGGCGGGATCTGGCGGGTCCGGCAAACAATTTTAGTTTGGCATTTTCTTAAAAATGGGAATAACTCTTTTATAACTAGTTGATACTGGAGAAACCCATTTCTTAGCGTCTCATTACTAATCGCGCGGCAAGACGCATTTACCTTTTTTTATCTCGCGGACATGAACTGTAATCTGCTCGTATTTAGACAAGGAAAACCGTTTCCGCATCCACTTACGTTTCCGCTGAAGTTTTGTGCGTTCGACGAAAGCCTGTGCTTTGGGCCGCACATGACACATTCGACCTACCGAATATTGCGTATCTTCATGTCTTTGTGATAGATTCCGCTGTGGGTTTTTCTTAAAGTGAATGCGCCTTATTTAATGCTTTATTTAATCTTCTATGTCTTCTCACATTTCTATTTTCAATATTTCAGTCAGTGGATGAGTATCGCACTTCTGTTCGGCATAATGTTTCTGAATGGTTTGCGAAAGTGAGTTTCGTACTTGATGTTGTTCTCTAAGATTTTTCTCGAGAAGAGTTTACGACTCCGTTCGTTTTTCCCGTTTTTTCCAACATTCGTATATAGGTGAGTACAAAAAGTGATGTGCAGTGGTTGATTATTCATTGATTCAACTAGAGCAAAAGAGAAGAAGAACCGAACAGCCTTGATGGAGAGGTTGAGACATGACTTCTCTAAGCATACCTCGAGGTTAGTATTGTTTATTTTTAGTCTTTCTCCAGTTTTGGAACCCTATATCGGGTTTCTTGAGATCGGGAAAGTAGGGACGGCAGGCTCAATAAAAAGTGAAAAAAGGTGGAAGAAACCACCGTTCTCATCAATTTTGCTTGCGTATGTGTTAGCAACGTGGTGGTATACTCTGGCAGCATTCTTCCTGGCAGAATGTTTATAATGTATGCTATACGAAGTTATTACGAGCTTCCCAGTCACCAACAACGTTTTCTACTTCCTGCTGCTTGTGGTTGAGCGCACTTGCTTTTAGGTTAATAGAAGTGTCCGAGTCAGTGGAACATGGTTCGTTCATGGGCCTGGTACAAGCGGTACAGACTGCCTTGCTCGCTCACTTGGAGATTCTAACTGACACTTGGGAGGCGTCTCTCATCAGTGCTAGAGAGAAGTATACTGAAGCAAGTTGGAGCCTGTCTTCATATTGTTCGTCAACGGTAAGGTCTTTGTAGCATGCTCTATTGAGTAGAAAATCACTTAATAGCTGCCATATTTGTGGCTTCCCAATGAATGAGTGGTTATTAGCGATGTTTAGATGGAATTGGCGCGGTTATATTGGAGTCTTGGGGCCTTCGAACATGCTCTTCCAGATGTACGACGATCTCGACGTCCACCTTTTTGATATCGTCAATAAAATGGCTGATGTGGAAGGTAAGCACCCGAAATTGTTGATCGTTCGAGACATTTACCATCTTAGCGTCTGTTTCTATCTTTATTGTTAAGTCTGCTTCAATTTTTACGGAAGCTGTGGCCTAATAAGTGGAGCCAAAAACTTACTAAATGAGTTCTAGCGCATCAGAATTTTTTGAAACCACCATCAGTGGTGTGATATACATCCTTTGAGATTAGTCAAGGCCGAGTTTGTCCTTATGTTTTCTTCACATTTTCTCTCAAACTTTTAATGTTATAGTATATGACTGAATGATTGCATGTCTTTAGCGGGACGCGAACCACGATGGGTTGTTGCACTTCGAACAGCTAGTGTTCCGTTTCGATCCCTTTATTCATCGTTTGAGCAACCAAAAATTGATTGCAAGAAAGACCACAGCCTCGTTGGTACGTGATTTCATTTCTACTTTTACTGGCTCATGGTCGGCTTTTTAGGATTTTGTCGTTCTTTTCCTTTTTATTTTGTCATGACTTTCGTCTTTCTATGAAATATTGTGAAGAAGCGGCGAACTTCTTCTTTAATGACGGCTGAGTGCGGTCTTGTTTTTTTGGGTGAAACTCCAGTTCGGGGGGGCCACTCCATTTTTTCTCCAATACTCAAGATAAGGATTAGAGGGCTCACGACACGTAATCGACTCATTTAAAGTAGACTTCTGATAAATATTGGTGTAATGGGTGAGAAACCCTGAAACGTTTTCACATTTCCGCCTGCCATGACCCAAGGGAACGGTCCTGGACCAGGAGAAAGGACACCTCCGCAAAGGGCTAAGGGTGCAGGAGCTCCAGGGTGGATCACCTGTGCAGAAAAGTGGATGGGATGTGGGCAGGTAGTGTGGAATGTAGGACATCCACCGGTCCTTATCAAAAGTACGCTCGAAATGAGTCGTTCACTTATTATCTTATCCGTAGTGTTCGATAGCCCAAAGAACTGCTCTCTAGTACTACGGATAAGATAGCAATGGAGTGCCCCCCCCGAACTGGAGTTTCACCTTTTTTTGTAATGTATGTTTAGGATTGGCTTTTTTGCTTGCACTGGCTGGCTCCTTTTTAGCGATTCGACATTTTCTTGTGGCACAACAGATACTGCTAAGCCTCTCGCAGTACAATGAGCGACATCGCTCGCATGGTGCCCCACCATCGCTCAGAGTCGACTTTGCGGCACTTGTATTGCGGTACACGAATCGAGCATTGAGTATTGCGTTGGAACAGTCTAAAACTGCTTTGGAGTTCAGAGTCAAGCTAGGTTTCAGACTTCGCGATTGCAGTTGGAGTGCATGTCGTTATTGATCCGTATTGTTGTATTGCGGCGCCCCTCCTTGCCTGCACTTTCTTGCCGCAAAGTCTGAACCATGCGTCTTTTTTTTGCTGGTTTCGAAAAGTAGAAGAACGATGGTTTATTGTATTTGTTTCAATACGTTTTCGTTCAGTTTTTCAATTTTTCAAAGTATCCTTGGTTATTTAACATATATATTATATTTGAAGTCTCAGTGCTTTTCTAAGCTCAGTTGTCGTGATGTGTTCATATTTAAAGGCAAACCCCGGGGATTGGCCCGACTAGTAGGAGGGATACCACTAGGGAAATTGCAAGGTCTGTAACTACCTAGATCACTCCAGCTTCGTCGCAAAAATTGCGGTTAGGGCGCTATTCCTTACGGGCCGGCAACCATCGACCCAATTTCCAACGCTCCCCACCCACCGCGAGAGGTGGTGAGATCAGCGTGCTCTCTCAAACGACGTGCTCTCTTCGCGTATTTTGTCTTCTTTGACCGCCCTTTCTCGACATCGTACCACATCCGACCCTGTTAAAGGGTAAGACCTTAGTTTCAGCGTTCGTAAAGATTTCTCTTGCTTTCCTTCCCACTTTCAGGGCGTTCCGCAGCTAAGGTATCACTACAGAGCGCTGATAGCACTAGTTCAATCCCGGAGTTTGATTTTGAAATAAAATTGTTGAGAAAAGTTTTTTCTCCTTCTAAAGCGGCCTCAAGGACACTATGTGGGACAGTTGCTAAAATTCAGTATTTCTGCTAAACGTTGTATTCCAGATGAATGTATCCATTGCTCGTCTAGCATGTTGGTGTCTTGTTGTATCGAGCGAGGCGCTACATATTGCTGGATTGTTAGCTGAGCCATCTACTGTAGAAGGAGCTGCCGCAGCCCTATGCGGTATACAAACGCATAGATTCTTTTCCGTGAGTGTTGAGGCAATATGGAGAAATTTTACTCTGTGGCATAAGTTTTCAAGCATGCTGGTAATGAAGGCTGAAAGTGTCAGTGCACCAACGGCTGAGCCATTTTGCATTCCGTTTTATATTTGCACAATGAATTTAAGGTATTTTAGTTTTCCATTGTTCAGATGTTGGATTTGGCAGAGCTGCCAGAAAGTGGTCCATCTGAGACTAGATCGTCGCTTTGTGAATGGCTTTCTGCTTCTGACGATTCAAGTGGAAGTGGAGAGTATTTTCGGGAAGTGCTTCAATCACCTAATAACTTTGCCGCGCAATTTTTCAAAGCGCACGATATAAGTTCGTCCACCCTCATGCAATGTGGACGTACTCGACAGGCAGCGCACATTGGTTGGAAGATGGCTGAGTGGATGAGGTTTGTAATTTTTACAGAAATGCTTTTGGTTTTATTTCTTTTATTCACGACTTTTCTTTTTTAATATTCTTCAAGATTATTGAAGCTACTTGTCCCTGACCAAACACGTTTTCTCAGCTGTCGGTATACTCCATGTTTTTTTTTTGCTTTGGAGTTTATCCCTGTTAGTTTTCAAAAGTAGAAGCTGGTGTATTCTCTCTTTATGTCCCTTAAGCTTGTCATGTTTCTCTTAAAGGCGTCGAGCTTGCCGAATTTGCAGGGAAGACTCCTCAAAAATTGGGGGAATCAGTGCTCATTAAAATAAGTATCTATTCAGACATGTAAAAGAATCAATCGCGACAGTTTTTAAGAGATGGGAAGCGTTTCACTAGAGTTGCGGGTAACATTGCAAAGGATTGACTGCCCTAATCTGTAGGCATGAGACCTGGTTATTTTACTAGTAGCAGATCATATTTAGTTTTGTTCGCCAGATTCTGTTAGCACGCTTTCATGTGATCCCTTTCATCTCATTGATCTCTTAACTTTCTATCGGTATGCCTTGTTGGCTGAACTGTCACCCTTTTGGATTTTAATTAATTGAGACTAATCTCTTGCTTTGATAATGTCGGACTGGCAAGTCAGCCATTACGTGCGAAATTTGGCCGACCGTATATGCGCCATTTTGTGAGCTTCTCGCTTTCGAAATTCTAAATGCAACTTATTTTTTTCCAGAAGGAACAGCCGAGATGCTGGAGCATTGCCGTTGGAGCTACGTTTTGTATCGTCGTTGCTAGAAAGTGGTACAAAATCTCAAGCTTTGGTTGATGTAATGAAGCGCATTGTTCCGTACCTGAAAGACGACATCGATTTTGAACGGTAGTAGTGTGTACGCAAAACTTGGGCTCAATTGATTAGGAAAGCAGACCTTAATTTGTTACCACATAGCTTTTAGGTTACTGTCTTATCGGTTATATATAGCAGTACACGATGCTGATGAAATGGAGCGAACAAAATATGCTGAGGAATTCATCGCCCAACTTGTCGAGAGGAGACAAGACAAAGGGAGTAAGGTTCGTTGTTCCTAGCGTCTTTCAATTCGTGCATTGACATCTTTCCCTCAGTCTTCTTTCTCTAAGAAACCCGCTCTTGATTTAACTATTCACGATTTCTTTTTGTTCAGTTTTTTCGTGTCCGTAATCTCTTCCTTCTCATATCCTCGAGACTTTCAGTTATGTAGGTTTTCCTGATCCCAAGTATTCACCACCGACGGTGGGCCTACAAGACCCCCAAGTCATTCTTATGCTTTACAATGGTAGATGGTGAAGATCACGAACATGATTTCAGAATGGCCGAACCGCCGGGCATCCCGAAAAATCTGTTTCGTGCCACTGTAAAAGGCTTCACACCAATCATACAAGTGCCTAATGGTCGTGTTTCGATTGATTTTGAAGTGAAGTCATCACTTCCTATTTCAATTCCGAATTTTTGCCTCCGAGTTAAGCTTCGAGAAGTTGATGAGCATGTGCTGTCGCGGCGAAAAGGAGCTGTGTACGATGTGCATTTCAGTGTGAGCTTTAGAATGCTTCAAAAGGGTCTATTGATCAGTTTACTTTTTTCTTCTACTCAGGAACGAGAACAAGTTTCACGTGTGATAACGTTGAACAAACCAAGAGAACTCAGAAAATCGATTTCTCGATCGAAATCCCCAGTGGTCTCACGTCATCCGATAGAGGAACTCTTCCTCATTTGCTCCGGTCAAGAATTACACCCGGGAAACAATGAAATCGTAAATGATAGTTATATTTATCAGTCGTGTTTGAGGTATTCTACGTTAACTGCTTCCAGACAGTATCCGGTCTAATTCAAACTCGTGGTTGTTTTTTATTGGATAGTGTTCAAGCGAGATTGTTGGACGATCTGGTATCGATAGACATCGATGACGTGAAAACGAAGCGGTTGGTAGCGATTTTCGTCCAAAGCACACCGAATAAGCTGTGGATAGAGGAAAGCAAAGGTAAGAAACTTAACGTCGCGGCATTCTTTTTTAAATTGTTT